TCTAGCTAGCCTCCGTTTTGTTTGACAATACTTAAACGTCAACAAGAAGTGACGTCACCCAGGATCGCTTAGAGAACCTTTAAATAAAAGCTGCTGTTCGTCAAAGCGTTTTTTTTTTCTTTTTCTTCTTAACTCAGTTGTTTAAATGATTGTATTTCTTTTTATATCATTTAGGCCTATTATTTTAATAGTGTACTTTGTGCCAGATTACACTGTTCAAATTTAATGCATGTCACCCTCATGGATATTTTTGTCAAATTACATAATTTTATATTTCACTATATAACTAAAACAAAAATAAAACATAAATGTGCCTAGTTTATTTAGTATTAAATACCTGCTACTGTTACGTAGAGGTGGTTGAAGCAAGGAGGAAGCAGAATCCAAATGCAGCTTACTTTTTTTTTAAACAACTCAAACTAGACAAAACTCAGACTAGGGAACATGACGAGGAAACAGAACAACGAACCTGGCATAACACTAAAACAAGAACTCACCAGAAAATGGATCCAGCAGCTGCTAGCAACCAGGCCCTAAGGAAATTCCTTTCTGCCCTGTTTCAGGATGGCCAGCCCATTGAGAGATATGTGAGGGAGTTTTTGACTTGCTGTCATCTGGGATCGTTAGATGCAGTAGGTCCCTCGAGGGCCGCACCGCCATGGTCTCCTGAACTGCCGGCTCCACCGTGGCCGCCTGAAGGGTCTTCTCCACCGTGGCCGCCTGAAGGGTCATCTCCGCCATGGCCGCCCGAAGGGTCATCTCCGCCATGGCCGCCGAAGGGTCTTCACCGCCGTGGCCGCCCGAAGGGTCTTCACCACCATGGCCGTCTGAAGGGTCTTCTCCACCGTGGCCGCCTGAAGGGTCATCTCCGCCATGGCCGCCCGAAGGGTCTTCACCACCGTGGCCGCCCGAAGGGTCTTCACCACCATGGCCGTCTGAAGGGTCTTCTCCACCATGGCCGTCTGAAGGGTCTTCACCACCGTGGCCGCCTGAAGGGTCTTCTCCACCGTGGCCGCCTGAAGGGTCATCTCCGCCATGGCCGCCCGAAGGGTCATCTCCGCCATGGCCGCCGAAGGGTCTTCACCGCTGTGGCCGCCCGAAGGGTCTTCACCACCATGGCCGTCTGAAGGGTCTTCACCACTGGTTCTGTCCAGCCCAGAGCCTGAACTACCTGGTCCGCCCTGGTCGCCTGCACAGCCTGCTCTGCCCTGGTCGCCTGCACAGCCTGCTCCACCCTGGCCTCCAGTCCTAACTCAATCTCCAGGCCCTCTTCCGGTCCACGGGCCAGGTCCGCCCACGTTCCATGGCCCAGGTCCGTCCACGTTTCATGGCCCAGGCCGGCCATTGCAAGGCCCTGGTCTAGTTCCCTGCGCGGGCCTGGCCCTCCATCCCTCCCCCGGGACCGCCTTCGCTCCACCACCCTCCAGAACTGTCTTGTTTTCTGTTTTGATGGGCGTCAGGAGCCGCCCTTAGAGGGCGGGCTATGTTGTGATGTCAGTCTGTGTTCTGTCTTTTCATGTTTTGCAGTTCCCTGTTATGTTTATTAGTCTACCCAGGTGTTTCAGATTAACCACGCCCCCTTGTTATCTTGTTTGGCTTGTTTGCCCTTGTATTTAAACCCTGTGTTTTAGTTCAGTCCTTGTGAGTTCTTGTCGTTGTTACATTGATGTTGGTTGTGCTGTTCCCGAGTCCTGTTCCCTAGTCTTTATAAAGTAAGCTGCATTTGGATTCTGCTTCCTCCTTGCTTCAACCACCTATGTGTAACAGAAGAACTCACCCACAAAATGGATCCTCTGTCACGTAGAGGTGGTTGAAGCAAGGAGGAAGCAGAATCCAAATGCAGCTTACTTTATTTAAACAAACTCAAAACTATACAAAGACTAGGGAACAGGACTCGGGAGCAGCACAACCAACATCAATGTAACAACGACAAGAACTCACAAGGACTGAACTAAATCACAGGGTTTAAATACAAGGGCAAACAACCCAAACAAGATAACAAGGGGGCGTGGTTGATCTGAAACACCCGGGGACACTAATAAACATAACAGGGAACTGCTAAACATGAAAAGACAGGGGAACACAGACTGACATCACAACAGCTACAAGTTAAGATGTATTTGCTAATCATTTATCACAGTGAACATGTATTGTAGGCTACTTAATAGCAACACATTTTGTATGCTAAGTGCTTTAGTAAATAAACATGTTGAAGTCCGTCCTCATGGAGTAGCAGCAGTGGATTGTGTCACAGAAATGACTGTACATTTGAGATCACCTCTTTCAAAAACCTGCCATCTAAGGTTTAAAACTCCAGAGGATTGTTGATTTATATTTGCTCACTCGCTCGCTTTTACCCTAGCACTGAAACCTCTGAAACCTCTCATCCTTCTGCTCCTCTCTGTCTTCGTTTTTCTCTCTCTCTCTCTGCATCAAGTGTTTCTTGAATGGGGGAACACCAAAACAAGCCAGACAAGAACAGGACAAGAAGGGAAAGCCAAAGAGACATGATGCAGAAGAGTGAAAGTGAGAGTGTTAAGCCAAGCATAAAATAACTTCAATCTAACATATTCTCCCAGGACGGCAGGAGGCAAATAGCAATAAGGCATTGGGCCGGAGCCGGAGTGGAGGAATCCGCTGGATCTCAGTGACCCATGGAGGAGAGGGGCGGATGGGAGAGATGATGCTACGCAGCAGAGACAAACTGTCTTCAATTAAAGCCCAGGCAAGCAATGCAGGACCACAGATGAGGTGTCAAGAGGTTCAGCTGTGGATACTCAGGAGTGTGTGCGCCAAAAGTGAATTTGGGAATTCAAGTGAATGTGTTTGTGTAGATAAAAGCAGAATTGAAAAAAATCTCCAGACTTTTTCCACAATTGGTCATGGACAACTTCAGCCTGTTGACAGAGAAAATATAGATTAATAATACAACTAAATGGTAACAATTGACAACCAGTTCCCATAAGTTAAGTTAATGCAGTAAATAACATTAACTAGCAATTAGCAATACATTTGTTACAATATCTGCTAAATGGATAAAAGTAAATGCATTTCTTTGTATTTGTTATGGTTAGTTAATAAAAAAGGTCCAATAAATTATAAGAATTACAAACAGATACAACTTTGGATAATGTATATATATTAACCATAATACATGTTTTAGATGTATTTTACATTGTTAGTTCAAGTTAACTATTTAAAAGATTTACATTTAAAATCTGTACAATAAAACAAATTTCAAAGCTGAACACACAGTAAAATAGGAGGAACAGAATCATTTATATTAATTACATATCTAGAGCTGTGAGATGATTCAGCATGTCATTGCTTTTGGACTTTTCTTATAGGTATTTTCAGGATTATACAACATTTGCAATAAGATATAATTTGGCCCTAATACGACAATTCAGAAGGCGCTTTTCTCTTCTTTACAGGCACACAAAGGCAGAAGCTTTCTTACTCTCTTTCTCTCTCTCAAACACACAGACGCAAATGCACTGTCACACACATCCTCCTGTTTGCCTTGTAAAAAAAACAAGCTGGATTTGGCTGGTTTTCTGGTTCATATAGAGCATGTGCCAGGCACTCAATCCTTCCAGCTCAACTGATTCACTCCATGATCAGGAGGAGAACCAGAATAAATTTACAATTACAAAAACTTAATTCACAATGTGGTCATCGCAGCTATATGCTATAAGTGTGCATGTGTATTCAATTCCCTGCCCCTTTACAATGGAGTTTAAACATTATTTGTTTACTGAAGTACAAATCATTATATGGTTTATGGTTTTATATTTACATTGAATAATTCTAAGTTATCTCCATTGAAGTTAAAAAAATAAATTGATTGCGAAAATTATGTTTATGTATTAATGTTTTAAGAGTTGCAAATATCATTCTCGTGCAACAAATCAGTGTTTTGCTGTTTAGTGTGTGAAATACTTTAGCAATTAATCAACACTGGGAATTAAGAAATGCTCAATTTAGAAATGCTTACTTTAAGCTGTTGTTGAACTATCAGTGTTATTTGTTTGAGGTGACTGAAGTAGTTTACTGACATTCACTTATACATTTAAATTGTAAAACTGAACTTGGAAGCAAACAAATAGAACATTCCTCATCAGTGAGTTACTCAGTTCCTTTTTTATAATTACCACTATTGATTGTTGTTTATAATATAAGTATATAACAAAATATTTATTATTACTATTATTATTTATTTTATTAATCTATTTAATTAAAAAATTAAAAAAGTAAATACTTTTACATTGTTACAAAAGATTTAATTTCAAATAAATGCTTTTCTTTTGAACTTCCTATATATCAAAAAATCCTGCACAACCAACCAACCAACCAGCAAACAAACAAACAAACGAATAAATTACATACATTTAAATTACATAAAAAAAAAAAAAAAAAACACATTTAAATTAAATACAATTAAATTACAATTAAAATATATATTTTAAATTATAATAATATTTCACAATAGTATTGTTTTTACTGTAGTTTTGGATCAAAAAATGCAGCCTGGTCGATTAAGCATATTAAAGACTTCTTTCAAAAACATTTTTAAAAAAATCGAACAGACCTCAGCCAGCATCACAGTAACATCATCATTAGTATCATCATCATTTAGTTCTAATAATAATAATAGTAAAGAAAAAAAAACAGTATTGTGGGTGAAAAACAGACTCACCAACTAGCATAATATATTCTGCTACGAGTGTCATTCACACAAACTTGTAAAACTTGCACACATTCCACATATTCCTTTTTTAAAAGAAAAAATCACATGTTTACCCTTTTAATCAATTAGTTATATTATAGATTTGTATCTATTAACAGTCTGTTTGATCTTTTATGAACCGTATACCCATTTAAGATTCACTAACCCCTTTTTGAGAATAGCTGAGCTAAAAACGCATATGAGAGTGTACAAGGTGTGTATGTACTTATGGGTTAGATTGTTTTTATATATATATACGATGTATGGACCGCTGTCATCTCCAATTGTGTAATGCTATTAATCTACAAACTCCTTTCTCTCCCTCTCCTTGCCTGACTGGATGCCAGGATGCACTTGTGAACGACAGGAAGTCAGTAACCTGCACTAGAACTTCAGCAGAGGCTTATCTGGTCCACACACAGCCACACATCATCTGAAACTTCCCACTCACCCCGTTCCAGAAATGTTTCATTTCACCTCTCCCTCTCCTTCTCCTTCTCTCCAGAGCTTTGCATCTGAAATTGAACAGACACCGAACCAATTTATCATCGGCTGTCACATGTCATGTCCAAGGCCTTTAGCACAAGCACCTACAGTACGCTTTGTATTTATCCCTTTGTTGTAGCTAAGGAGCTAGACAATACAACCTGCTATTAAAAACAGACGAGCGAAGGAATGAGGAAAGGCGAACGAGAATGACAAAGCGTTCTTGCCGAATGTTGTGAATTCTTCGGTCGCCATTACAGAGGTTGTGAACCCCACCATGGCTAGAGCAGCATATTTCTGGCAGGCAATCAGATGAGGGAACCTGCCAAGTGCCGGGGCTAAGAAAATGAAAAGAGGTCATGGAGAGCAGCGCTAGATCTTTCACGACATTAACATGCTAACACACTAGCTCACACACTGCGTCAAAGTGCTGCGTGGCTGTTTTAAGCTCTTGAGCATCTTGACAGTTTCCATCCACTGTCATAGTGTGCAAAAGAGCAGCTCAGACATTCTTAGAAACATCTCCTTTTATGTTCCACAGAAGAAAGATAGTTATACAGGTTTGGAACAACATGAGGGTAAGTAACAGCATTTTCATGCTGCTAAGGTTCTGTTCTGTTCTGTTCTATTCTATTCTATTAGGAATTTCGTTTCTTCCAAATGCCAAAACATTTTTATAAGAACATAATGTCAAAGTATGCATGTTTGGTTGCCTGTCTACAAATGTTGTATCAATGCTTTCATTGTTGAAGAAGCTAGGTAATTATTATATATATATATATATATATATATATATATATATATATATATATATATTTATTTATTTATTTATTTATTATTATTATTATTATTTTTTTTTTTATTTATTTTTTTTATTTTTAAGAAGTCTCTTATGTTCACCAAGGCTGTATATGATTACAAAACTGTGAAATATTATTACAATTTTATATAGGTTGTCTATTTTAATATATTTTAAATGTAATTTATTCCTGTAATGACAAAGCTGCATTTTCAGCAGCATATGATACATATTTGCCGGTTTCTTTGATGAATGGAAAGTTCAAAAGAATGTATTTATTTAGCATTTATTTAGAAATAGAAATATTTCGCAACATTATAAATGTCTTTACTGTCACTTTTGATCAATTTAATGCCTGAATAAAAGCATTATTTAAAACAATACTGACCCTAAACATACATCAGCATTTATCTAAAAAAAAAAAAATCTCACAGGGAAATTTAAGAAGAATTACTGAATGTTTAACCAGTTTCATGTCCAAACTGATTCACTGAAATGAATCAGATTTCCCAACGCTACAAGAGGACAGTTTGATTGCAGAAAGTGTTTGATTATTTCCTCAGCTGTTAAGCTGTAAATTTTCTTGATCCTGTAAAAGCTATTACACTGTTTTAAAGCTCCAGAGCTACTGTCACTGAAAACTGTAGTTAGTCTCTACTTTTAGTTACAACACTGGATTTACACCTCTCATTATGACAGAGATCTGAACTTTTTCGTTTAACATCCATTCCTTCATGATCAGCACTACTGTAAGAAACCATATGCATTGTCATCTTCGCTTTTACAGTATTGGCTTACAATTGTAGAAAGAATGATATGGGACACTTTCATCGACATCTGGAAAGATTCTAACCGCTTTGTTCTTTTCCAGCACAGGGAAAAAAGTAGTAGCCTATAGTGTGCTATTTTCTGATATACCGGAGGCATCTTCCATCTAATTTTACAGTCGAATTAAACGCAAACATAGGCGGCTACTAGGAGCAAAATAAGGTCCAGCCAACTGGCAGCAAGCAGACTTCGTTCTAATGGCATCTCTTTCCTTGAAATAGCACCTCACACTCCGCTGAGCTTCCAAACATCCTGCCAAACAGTGTTTCACAGCTTTGTGAATTCACAACAATCAAGTTTTGTTCTTATAGCACACGTTCACCATTTTTCAAAATGGCAAAAAGTGTGTCAAATAAAATAAAATAAAATAACATAAATGTCAGGAGTGTATTTGTACATTAATACATTTATTTATTTGTCAATAAGATTCTCTGACTAATGTACATCAAGCACAAGTGCATGTGAAATTCCCAATCTCATGAATTCCTATTGAAATAACTAGGTTTTGTCTTCCCCAACAATGGTAAACGTGATTGCACATGTAGCCTTCATAACTCTTCAGCCGTCTAATTTCCTTTTAGAGCATGTTATATTTTACATGAGTGCATATTTAATGCGGAGCCTATAAAAAAAAAAACGGTTCAGAGATGGGTTTCAGGTGACACGACTTACTTAAAGGTAATTAGCGTAGCAGCCTAGCTATATAAAAGTCACTAACAGAGTGCTGACAGCGGCCGAGCGCTGACACCACATCTCTTTAATCAGTGAAACGTAGGCCCATTTTTCCCCTCCTGCCTGGTCCGGGGATTGTGCGCTGGTCAAAGCTGCCGGAGGACACAAATGAATGTCGACTGAGGCACGGACAATAGCAGGCGTAAGGTTACAGCATGTAAATGATTGCGCGGAGGCCTTTTCTAAGGAAGCTGCCATGTCCCGCAGTGCGCGTGTCATATTCGGGGGAAGGGGGGGCGGAAGGCCCTGCTCCTCACAGAACAATGACACTGAGATATGGTGAGAGGAGAGTGGTTAATAGATCCAGACAAACCGTACGCATCTCCTGACGGACGAATCATCGTCTAGCACCGTTTCAATTCGGCGGGGCTTAATAAGAAGTGACTGACTTTACAATAACGCCATCATTTGCTTTGCCGAGAACCGAATGAGTGACAGACGACCCAAACTCCACCAGCTGCACGACTGTCACCTGGAATACGTTCTGTCATCTCCAGAATATTCTTGATTCAAGAATATACAACAAAACACTCTCGTGAGAATTCACACCTAGTGACATCGATGATATGAGTGAAAACGACAGGGAGAGAGACTAAGCCGAACGATTGCATCTTTACGTGAGAGTTAATATGGATGTGAAAATGAATATTTCACCCAGATTATTAGATGCGGCTTGGCTCCGGCTGTACCGCTAACAGACACAGGATATTGGCTTTTGCAGACCAGCATTTTGTTGTTTGACATCCCTGGCGAGGTCTGCGGGCTTCGGCAAACCAGAGAAAGCTGGGAGGTGTAAGGGTCATCGCAATGAAACAGTGCTGTCGAGCTTTTGATTCACACAACAGCTGACGCGCACTCACACAGAGTCAAGCTACGCCAGATGCATTGAAAACAGGGTGGAGAGAAATCACAGGATTTTCATTGGAAAAATAAGAGTATTCAAAGTATGAAAAAAAATTCAACCTTATCAATAAAAGCTTATTAAATTCAATTCACTATGTAATATATATGACCATATCCTGTTGAAACATATAGGCCTATATATATTCCCTAATTATGTACATATTAATATGGCATTTTGAAAATAAACCTCAATTCCCATCAAATTATTTTAATATGATCCTCTGAACTAATCAAACCCAGTATACATTGAAGCTTTAGTATGGATAAGATTTATGCTTCTGTTTCACGACACAGTAGATGAGCTTTTCAAAAATGTGACTGATATCCATTATAGTGGCATTCTAGTGTTTCTGTTTTATGTCAATTTGAATCCAGTGAAAAAAAAAAAATACTATAGAAAAAAATTATAAGAAAATAAAAAAATTGTCTGGAGTGTATCTACACTATTTGTACATCAGATGATTTTATTTTAAAATATATGTATTTATTTATTAATGTACTATATCAAGCACAAGAAATGTATCATTTTACATTGAGAATGTTTCCATCATGTTATCAAATCAAAATTTTGTTCGACTCTATAATGCTATCATTAGAGAAAAGTCTGAACATTACTTCAATGGGCTCATTGTTTCTGCCTTAAATTAATTCGGAAATACATAACTTGGACACAGTCACCTTTGATAAAAGATCACTCTAAATTGTAAACGTGCATTTTCTGTAAAGCTGATTTGAAACAATATGTATTTTGAAAAGCGCTACACAAATAAATCTGAATTGAATTGAACACGAGGGTTAAAGCGCATGACAGTTTTATACAAATGCTGTGCAGATAAATCCCCCCAAAAATGCATCCTTCTGTTTCTCTTTATACGCATTCAAACTGGCCTGAAACAACCAAAAGCTCATTGCAAAATGCGACCCCCAACAAAACTCATCTGACCATGTACTGTCTGTGACCTTCCAATCCTAGGAATGTGCCTCGCCACGAAAAAAATCCAAAATAACGCCTTCCTTTTTTGTTTTAACCCAGACCAGATTGTCATTGTGCAGTTAAGCGTTCATCGGCTTTACACTACAAGACCCTTGAGAGACAGAACAACCTCATCTTATAAGGCCACTCCTCGTCTTGAGGCTCGTAGACCCAAAACTTGCTTATTCAGTTGACTAATATTGTCTCCCCAACTTCCTATGACCTCCGAGAGGCTCCATTTGAGAGATCAAGAAGAATTATAGTGAAAGATCTGTTTTGTTGTTATTTCTAAAGGAAGATGGACCGAAAAGGGCTGCGGATAGCAGGATCTGGCAATGCTAAGATGTGAATGTTCTTAATGGGACTCAGGTGACGATATGCTGACCAGCACCACAGTCCAGGAGTTTTAAGCCAGGGTTAGAGGTGTGAGAGGGGGGGAAAGCAAGGGAGAAAAGAAAGGGGAACAGGTTAAGGGGCTAGGGGTAGTGAGGGGACGACGTCTGTATATGTGTTGGGAAGTACACAGACTATGGAAAGAAAGAACTTGGGCCGCTAAGTGATACATAATCCTTAAGTCCTTACATACACACAGAGGGATTTTGACACAAAAGCCGTTAGTCTTCTCCTGTCTGCTTTATGTCATGTCTCATGCCCCGTCTGAAACATCACAAAAGACATGATGGACACAAAGCACCTTCAGAATTCAGAGATATCATAACGAAAACAAATACTGTACGTACAAACAGATTTAATTACAAGGTAGGTAAATCAAAACGTACATGTTGGCAAGTAAA